TACCGATTTCACAGTCAGTCCTTGTTTCACGCGGTAGATGCGTTCCTAAAAATTCCGCGTTAAGCGAAAACAATTTTCCCATAAATCAACTAGTCACAATAAAGTTTGGCGAGATACGATGTAACTGTACAACAGTGAGATGGCGGGACAAATAACTGAGGGTACATGGCCGCATTACTGTATCATTCTGCTTATTGTATCACTTTGCTTACTGTATCACTGTACCGCTCGGCTGCACAGCTCAAGAAAGTAGTTCGTCGTCGACCACTCAGAAACGGCGTTATAACGGATACGTTCCACATTATAACGTTCTGCGTTGTAATGGGCGCATTATAACGGGTGTGTTCCGCGTTATAACGGTGTGCGTGTTGCATTGTAATGGGTGTGGTTCTGCGTTATACTTTTCGCATTGTGCAAAAAAAAATGGAAGAGCCGCGTTATAGCGAAAACGCAATGTGTGAACACCGCGCGATTAGCAAAGTGTTGTCGTATTGCTTTGGTTCACATAGTTGGGTCAATATTTACTGGTTACCAAGTGCCTGGATTTTTCGGCGATGTCAATCTTTCACGGTGTTTTAAAAATGGCAGAAATCACGGTAGAATTTCTGGCACGTATCTTAAAGGTTAAAAGGCTGCATAGTTCCGGATCAGTATTTTTTTCTTTATGGTCTGGTATTCGCGTTGTTCTTATTGCACAGGGGCAGTCATCACGAAGCTACAGGCGCTTCTGTGTTTCACAGACAGCCTGCAGTCTCGCAACAGGAGGCGATGTTGCAGCTGTGTGATATCCCAACTTAGTCATTGCCAGTGCACTTCTCAAATTGGGACCGTGTTGAAAGACGCCACGTAATATTTAACGTCCACCATGCAGCAGACAGTGCAGTGTTGTTATTGTTACTACTAGGGTTATGCAATCCCGCAGTGTTAACCAGCGCTGCTCGCCAGAATCATACTGCGAATCTCTGTGTTGTCTTGGTGTGGTCTGGCACTGTTATTGTTGTCTTGATGTGGTCTGAGACTATTGTTGCTGTTTGCTGCCTTGCCCAAGCTTGCATTTAGTGTTGAAAATTTGGCAGAAATGTATGTAATCTGTATTTATATATTTTTTAAATGTTATTTTTGTGCGTTGCTTACCTTTTTTCTATTTTGCACTATCGGTTTTTTGTATTGTTATTGTAACTTGCTGCCCCCCGTGCCCCTACTGGACATCTGTGAAAAAGAGCTCCACAGCTCATCGGATTCCTCCACTTGCAGTCTAAATGACAAGATATTCTGACCCTCTGCATTGAGCGGGCGACGCGCCTACCCCTGAGCTGCGTCATCGCCTCGCGAAGGTGCCGCCGATAAGAGACCGAGAGAGTGAGTGGGGAGAGGGCGGACAAAGTCAAAGTTTCTCGGGTTACAGCTGGGTGTGGCGCGGCTCAACGTAGCGGCGCTCCTTGCCCCCTTTGCTCCGGGGCGCATACCGATCGCGTGCCGGTCCCGCACCGATCGTGTGACGACCTCGGCAGGCCGTGCATGTACAGTGCGCGGTTCCTCCCCCCGTCCAAACACCTGGGCGCAGGGAGAGACGCCGATTGAATGCGCCGATCGACGGCGGTGGCGGTGCACGCTCACGAGCCACCGGTGTTCGAACCGCAGCCGATAGCTGCGGCAGGTGGCTGTGTGCGGTCACGCGCCTCGCGCTGTTTGGACCCACTGTGGATCGCGGGGGAGGTGAGGGGCGTGACTTCTCCTGGCCATGGACGGTGAAGCCACAGAGCCTGGACAGGTAAGGGGGGGGGTGTCGATTGCAGGCACGGTTGAGGCTGCGCTTATCACTGTATGGAATCTGGCCAGGGTTTGCAAACGCCTACTGCCCCTAGGTTTGTTCGTTTCTCGCGAGGGAAGGTCGGCATTGTAAAATGTGTATTCCTGCTCATTTACTCGGCGAAGCCTCGCCAAGTGTCAAGAATATTTTTTTAGGAGGGTCCTGTCAAGTTATCGCATGAGGTGGCAATGGTGCTACGTGTAATGTCACTCACCATCACCATCTTTCTAACCCACTGTCACTGCCACATACCATGCCACGCACCGTCCCACTCGCTAACCCATTCACCTGCCCACCCACCAAGACACTCACCAAGACACTCACCATACAATTCACCAACCCACTCAGAAACCCACTCACTAAGACACCAGACATTTCACCAACCCACTCACCAAGACACCAAACCATTCATGAGCCCACTCACTAAGACACTCACCAGACAATTCACAATCCCACTCACCAACCCACTCGCTAAGACACCAGAAAATGCACCAACCCACTCACTATGATGACCACCAGACAATTCGCAATCTCACTCACAAACCTACTCATTAAGACACCAGACAATTCACCAACATACTAAGACACCAGACAATTCACAATACAGCTCACCAACCCACTCAGCAACCCACTCATCAGCGTAGAAAATATATATTTGGTACTGGCATTATTATAAAATATAACCACACTACAGCACTACCCATTGTAAAACTAAACCGGTTGTGTCTATATGAATGTTTGCAAACATTCTGCTAAGCTTGTTTTCACCGAGTGCCGTGTGGCTTACCAGCCGCGCGCTCGGAAACCCAGCTCGGGATGGGGCTCGGGTGGTCATTAATAATTCAGCGTGTCACGTGACATCGAACAATGGGCCTTATCAGTCGGGGATCGTTTGACCATACTTCACCACACTGGTTGGTGCCGGTTTGGCAAAGAGATGGCCGAGGATCGGTTTAGACGCTGCTTGTCGGGTGCCAATGACGTTAGCCATGGTCGCGGATCAAACGGAGTTTTCCGGGGTTGACGACACGGTGCGCTAACCACTGCACCACAGCTTCCAATTGATTTTATAAATGTAATTACGGTAAGTCCTCGCTTAACGCGAGATGTTCACACAACTCGTTTTGTCCAATGCGGGTCTGCCATTAGTGAACACTTGTCACACAAAGCGGAACGCGCACCATTATAATGCAGGTCATGCACTGTTATAATGCGGAACCTGCATTGTTATAACATGGAACCTGCACCGTTATAACGTGGAACATGTCCGTTATACCGTGGAATGCGGACTGTTATAGCACAGACTTGGACTGTTATAATTCGGAACGCGCACAGCTATAACGTGGTACACGCACCGTTTTATAGCGTGGAATGTGTCCGTTATAACGCGGAACATGCACGGTTAAAACGCAGAACGCGCCTGTTATAACGTGAAACATCCCCGTTATAGCGCGGACCGCGCACCATTATAACGGGGGACGTTATAACGCGAGACACGCGCAGTTATAGCGTGGGACGTGCTTGTTATAGTGCAGAACTCGCACCGTTGTAACGCAGAATGCGCACTGTTACAATGCAGTTTTTGAGTGGTCGATGATGAACTACTTTCTTGAGCTGTGCTGCTGAGCGGTACAGTGATACAGTACGTGGAATGATACAGTAAGGCGGCATACCCTCATTTGTACCACCATCTCACTGCATGTGTGTAGTACATCATATCCTGCCAAACGTTATAGTTATTACATTGAGGAAATATATTTTTTCTGAACGTGTTACTTTTCAGAAACGCATCTATCACTTTAAACGAGGACTTACTGTGCATGTGTTTTGTTTCCTGTTATCGGAAATTTGATCGTAACACGTAGGTTTTTGCAGTTGGTATTATCAATCGTCATGGAGATTTGGCTTAGGCCACTATGTAACAATCCGGCCACTGATAAACAACTTAAATAGTCAGGTGTACAAGCATCATTCGGACAAGACAGGCAGTAAGAGTAAAATAAAATACAAATTTCAGCAGTCAGCAACAATTACTCTGACTTCCTCCTGGAACTTGTTCTGAAGATGCTCCACCATTTGATGGCGCCAAACGACTTCATCATCAGCATGTCCAGTAGTTGAACGCCGCTTCATACCTTTCTCGCTCACACCGGTGAAGTGAAGGCCGATTCTCACGGCTAGATTGAGAGATTTAGATTCGTGATGTTTCACTTGAAATTACATCAAGCATCATCATTACGACGAGGTACAGGAAGTTAGAATCCAACTTATGTATGTTGGACTTTTCGCACAGTACATAGCCAATCATGCTAATTGGAGGTATGGGGAAGGACAACAAACTAACAACAAAAAGCAGTTCTAAATAAATTAATTTTCAATCTAGATTTAAAGGTGCATAGCTGTAGTGGCGAAATATATTTTTGGGGGGGTGGAGGGTCTTAGGATTTGGCCATACTATCCAAAAATTATATCATGAATCAATGTATTTCTACGTAAATTTTTACAAAGAAAAGATAGTTTCAAATTCCAAGTACAGGTCGGGCTCGTTTTACACGGGAGTAGATGCATTCCTGAAAAGTGTCGCATGAAGCGATAAAGGCGTTCAGTGAAACCAATTTCCCCCATAAATGATGATGTAACAATAAAGTTTGGCAAGCTACGATGAACGCACACGTAGTGAGATGGCAGGACTAATAACTGAGGGTACATCACTGCGTGACTGTATCACTCTACCGCTCAGCGGTGCAGCTCAAGAAAGTAGTCAACCGCTCAGAAACCGCTTCATAACCGTGTGCATTCTGCATTATAATAGTGCGTTCCATGTTCTAGCGAAAATGCGTTGTCTGAAAATGCATTAAACGAGGACATGTTGGAACAATAGTGGTGCAGTGGTGGTAACACAGCAAGAAGGGTCTTGGCTCGATTCCTGGTCGCTGTTCTGTGTTCTGCATGGGTTTCCCATTCCCTCTTAAGTTACCCGGTCTCCTCACTTAGTTAAAAACCTAATTCTGGAAATTTCCTAAAAATTACTAAATTGGGATTACACACAGCATTAGCAACATCGCCCGCTACTATGAGCAAAAGTCTTAAGACATGCGTAATAATATTGTTGGGAATGTAGTTAAGCAGCATTTTAAGATTTCAGTGCCGGGAGCAAGAAAGCGTTGCACGTGGTTCTTATTGTTTTCAGGGAGCCACAGTCCAACTCTTCACCATCTCGGAGGAGCCCGAGGAAGCCACCCCTGACGTGGCGAACCCAGAGAAGCCGAGGAAGAAAGAGAAACTCAAGAAGGCGCTCCGGGACAAGAAGGCGCGGGCCGCTCGCATTGCGTCCGACGTGCCACCGCCACCACGGCCCCTTCCGCTGGGCCCCAATGGGGCTTCGCCGACCTCCATGGAGCCGGCCCCCGAGGGTTCGGTGTGGGCGGCAGGCGCCGAGCTGGGCATGTGCGAGGTGCTCACCACCGTGCCGCTGCCGCCTGGTGTGGTCGCACCGCCTGGCGCCGAGGGCCACATCAGCGTGCGCACGCGGATCTTCCGCTACCACGATGAGGCGGACGATGCGAGCGGGGCACGCATCGCCACCGAGATCGCGCTGCCTACACCACCATACCGGGTAACCATGCTGTTGTCGGCGTCATCATCGTCGCCCCCCCCCCCCGCAAGCAGTGCCCGGGCGTGCCATGCAGTGCGTCTCATTGTGACGCGCGTTCGATTCCTGCCAACACCAGTGATGATTATCTGAACTGGTCCTGGGCCACCCCTAGGTCGACTCAGCCTGAAATGAGTATCTGGGCGGTGTGCAAAACAGGCAACAAGAATTGGTGACAAAGCCTTTATTGTTGCAGCACCAATCTTTTGGAAGAACCTTGTTTTCTCCCGTTAACATCGTGAATCTTCCTTCAAAACATATCCTGATGCAGAAGTAAGGTGCTAGATACAGCAGGCACATTTGCAAATTTGATTTGTAAGTTTGATCTTTAACCGTGTACCATCGATAGATACATTTTAATGTGCAATTTATTTCAGGTACTGCGTGTTGTCTTGGTGTAGTCTGGTACTATTGTTGTTTTGCTGCCTTATCCCAAGCTTGCATTTAGTTTTGAAAAGATCGGCAGGAATTAGTGTACTTGTAGTTATACACTTGATTTATATTTATTTTATATTGACTTTGCTTACCTTTTTTCTATTTTGCACTCCGATCATTTTTTTGCATTGTTTGTTGTTACAACTTGCTGACCTGCCCATACTGGGCATCTGTGAAAAAGAGCTTCATAGCTCAACGGGTTCATCCACGATAAATAAAGATTTTGATTGTGAGCTGCCTTTGCTATTGCTGAGCCACCTCACTGGATGGATAACAACGATAACAATAATAATCACCGCAGCAGTGACTCAAGAAATGCCACTCAACCTGAGGATGTTGGCTGTTCGGAGTGGTTAGAATGAATACACAGCACGTTGACAATGCTGATGTAAGCAGCACATTTTTATATTTCGGAAAATTATGTAGCCGGCCAGTTGGCAGGGCACTAGAGTGGGCGGTTCCCAATCGGAAGGTTGCGATTTCACATCCCTGGTTGGTGATCGACTCAGCCTATCATCTCTCTAGGGTTGATAAAATATTTACCACTTTGTGGGGAAGTCATCATTGGTTGTCTTGTGTATAAATGTGCCGTGACCATAGGAATGTAGAATGTTCACTACCGGCAATGGTTTGTGTGGTTGTGTATCTATTTGATTAGAGGTGCTAGAAAGGCAGCCAGAACTGGCACTACTAACAACTTGCCCAAGCTCTTTTGTCCTATATTGGGATGTTTGGCCAATTCTGTCGTTTGGTGGGGGTTGTGTGTGCTGTGCACGCGCAGAGTGAACAGGCATACGAGGTGGAGACCAGGCTCATACAGGACACCACGAGGACGGGTGCCAGGGTGGCTCGCGAGATCACGAGTGAGTCCACGCCACCACCGCTGCCTCAACGCAGCTGCTGAGCATAAAGATCCCCCCCCCCCGTAGCCTTTGCAGACTGCTTGGGCAAGTGCTGTTAGCGAATAGCACCTACGAAGCGAGGAATGGTACACGAGGGGCTGGGTGGCCAGCCCCATGCCTGGCTGCCTTTGTCTCGCTCGTAGACATGTTTTACACACTCCACCAGGTCCTCATTTGAGACCGAGCCAACCTAGGGGAGGCCCAGGACAAGTTCAGATAATCATCACTGGTATTGGGCAGTGAGTAGGAATTGAACTCGGGTTGCCAGGTTTGTAGGGTAGGGCGCTAATCGCTGTGCCACCGCTCCCCACGCACTGAGACACGCACATTGATAGTACACTGACACATCTACACTAACACACACTGACCCCACACACTGATCCCACACACTGAAACATACCTATACAAAAACAAAGATGCCCCGTATAGGCTTAACAGACTGTAGGAACAACTGCTGTTGGCGGGCACCTCCTGAAGGCCGGAACCGGCACACGAGGGGATGGCTGGCCAGCACCATGCCTGGCCACCTTTGTCGATGTTTACACAATGCACCAGGTACTTATTTGAAGCTGATTCAACCTAGGAGAGGCCCAGGACCGGTTCAGATAATCGTCACTGCTGTTAACCGTGGGATCGTAGCGCAGCGTGCTAATGGCTGCACTACCACTCCTCTTCGCTACTGCTGAGCACAGGCCCAAAACGTGAAGCCACCAGCAACAAACAACACTATCAAAAGTTGTACTACATAGCTGTGAGGTTTTGCCTGGGATGAGTGGTGGGGGTGCTGGTTCGGACGCCACGCTCACTCTTATAGACGCAACCCAGGGGTTTGTTTAAGGTTTGCAGACTCTGGGTTGGAGTAGAAGACCAAATGCACCAGGTAAAAAAGGGACCACCATAACTGATTTAAAACAGTTACGAGTTTAAGTCTTTAATGACTACAAAGGAAGGCTTATAACCATAGAAGTATACGTTTACAACCCCCGGTGGCAAAACCAGGCAAAGCAACCCCAGGTTTAACAGTACCAACACGACCTCAGACCGGATGTCAACTACAGCAAAACTTCACCTTACCAGGTGAACACTAAATGCCTCAAGCATAACTCAGTTTCATAACAGTAATCACAAAGCACATATTTGATTCACTTAAACTTCACGAACCTTGACATAACAGAACAGGAAGAGACGTGCGCAAATAACAATGTGTTTCGATGAATGTCCATGCCAGTTCACACGCAGTCATCAAATAAAGATCTTCTTGCCGAGATAATGTCTTGAAGTGGGTGCATTGATCAATAGTCCGAATGTGTGTATGGGAGTGAGAAAGTGTTAGTGTGAAGACGAGAGTGTTGAGGTAGGTGCAAGGGAGTAGCTCACAGCCCTTGCAAATCTTTACGGTTGCTCACAACCTCCAACTGCTGTCTAGGATGCCCACCAGTGCCCAGGCCACCAAGGAACTGACACCAGGGTAGCCCTCCTTACGATGCTGGTCACCCTTGACCAGCGCTCCCTGCTTTGCTGCCCAGCTCTCGAGTTGTCAGGTGTTCAGCCGCACAGTGGCCCTCCTTGTAGGTTGTGCATGCCTGAAATTCAGCCTGCTTGGTGGGACTCAGTGGCCCACCACTCTGACAATTCTCCGCAGCCTGGGTAAAACCACCTTAGCGGCTACACCCAGGTCCAGCCGGCCGTCATAACTTACGGTTCCACCATGCTGGCTAATGCTGCCTCGTGCACGTGGCATTGGTTGCTCTTCATCTAGCTGTGCTGGTTGGTGGAACAACTGCACGGTCCCACCACGGAGTACTGTCCAGAAAATAAAATAATGCTTCCGACCAGCCACCTGCTCAGGCAGGGTGCATTAAAATAAAACAAAAATGATCTGCCGATCTTTCTAGCTCTCCTGCCTCTGCGGTCTCCAGCAACCACCGTCCTTCGACCACACCTTTGGTGGGCAGTCCCTTTTTAATCCTTTCCTGGGGCACCACTCCAGCCTTTTTCTCACCCATTCACACCTATGCCCTGAGATGCCTAGCTCCAACTCGCTCCACCTCAGTCCATCGGCGCCACCAATCCCACCTTATACCTCTGCCTCCCCCCCCGTCACATCACATGACCCCACATGGGCATTACCACCTGTACTGTCACATCAACAGTTATTATTTTTTATTTTTTTCTTGATAAACAAGTCGCACAGGACCACAAATGTTAAGATGAGTGTGGTCATGTTAAAGTAGAGTCCCATACTCAATTGGTAAATTGGAAGATAACTTTTCAGCATTACAATGTTTTTGCCAATACCAAGTACATTCACTTTTGATCTATAAGAGGAAATCGAAGAACCCGGAGGAAGCCCATGCAGAGTTAGGTGGAGAACACACAAACGCCACGCAGAAAGCTTCTTAAGCCAGCAATATAACCCAGGAGCTTTGTACTGTGAGGCACAAATGTAACCACTGCGCTACCGTGCGGCAATTTCAATTACTCTAAATGCTACTATTGGACAGCAAGTCCTCGTTTAACGTGTTGCACGTATGAAGCAAAAATAATTCCTCATAAATAATGTAATGATAAAGTTTGGCGAGATACGATGTACTACGTGCATGCAGTGAGATGGCACAAATCACTGAGGGCACGCCACCGCGTTCCTGTATCAGTCTGCGTACTGTATCACTGTACCGCTTAGCGCACAACTCAAAAAAGTAATTCATCGTTGACTGCTCAGAAACCGTATTACTTATAACGGTGCATGTTCCGCGTTGTGCGAAAAGTTCCCTAATGGAAGAAAATACTTTGTGTGAATGTAGCACGTTAAGCAATGACTTATCGTCCTTGAATATTTAATTTAGGTGTGACAGAGTAATTGACCTAAGCCATCTGGTGAATTGACTTATCGTCCTTGAATATTTAATTTAGGTGTGACAGAGCAATTGACCTAAGCCATCTGAAACGATTTTCAAATGTACGGCAAGTCCTCGCTTAACGCGTTGGTGTTCACGCCACGTGTTTTCGCGACCATGCAGTTCTTCCATGAGGGAACACTTTTAGCAAAATTTGGAACGCTCACCATTATAACACAACCAGCACTGTTATAACGCAGTTTTTGAGCGGTCGACTTTCTTGAGCTGCATGGCTGAGCGATATAGTGATACAGTACGCGGATTGATACGGTAATGCGGTAGTGTACCTTCAGCTCTTTGTTATCTCACTGCGTATGCATAGTACACCGTATCTCGCCAAACTTTATTTCTACATTATTTATGGAGAAATTTATTTCTAATCATGTGGAACTATTCACGAACTGCATCTACTACGAATGTGTTAAACAATGACTGTAATTTGACTGAGCCAACTTATGATATTGCTAATTAATTTGATTGAAGATAGATTATTTTTCTTGTACCGATGTCGATATTGTATGTAACAGGGTTATCTCTGCTCTGGTTGATATTCGGTTGTTTTTGTTCTGATTTCTATTTTCTCGCTTGCTGCACTTTATTTTTACCCCATTGCTTGTTTCATTTTGGTGACCTGGGTCACTCTTGCAAATTATACTCTATCCTGGTCTCTTGAGTTACACTCTGCCTGGTTACACCAAACCCTATGTGACACTTGAGCTTCATGGTGCGACAGGCCGAGTGGAGAGCGATGCACGGAGCGGCAAAATCCCGAAGCAAACACGAGGCTCACTGGGCAACTCGACGGAAGGTCTGCCAGGCTGGCCGGGTGGCCCTCGGCTAGGAACAGCGACGGACACAGTCCACCCACAGCCGGTAACAGCTCCCTGTCTAAGCGCACGTACATTAAAGCCCGTGCTGGACTTGGGCACATGCAAAGTAAGCTACAGCTTATTGCCCCACATTATGAAGGGCCTCTAAATCCGAAAACAAACTAAGACAACTATCATTATAAGAATAGGTTTTACCCTTTCTGCCAATAAAACAGGTGTTAAGATGTACAAACACCAAACAAAAACCGTTTGCAAGGAATAATGGTTGCATTAACCACACATACTTAAGGTGAACATGCAAACAAAAACATGCTCTCGTAATATATGCATTGTCTTTGAACCGATTGGTCTACACCAGAGACAGCCTTCTTTAGGGATTAGTTTCAAACAGTGTTAGACCAGAGAACCCAAAAGGCAAACAGCACAAAGACAATGCACTATCAGGGCATTTATAGCTCGGTGAGCAGCTACAACATGGAACCTTACTTGCCAGTATCAAGGGATAAGAATAGGTTTTACCCTAAGAGTATAAGAATAGGGTAAAACCTAGTCTCTGGTCTAACACTTTTGAAAAACTAAAATTCTCTCTTATACGGTTATTTTCATTCCAATATGACAAAAATATACAGACATTGATGTAGCTTACAGCCCCAGCAATGTTATTGTCCGGCCCTGATTAAGGCTCCCGTATTCTTAGTCAAGGCTCGGCTCAGGCTTTGCTCTGGCTCCAGTGAGCCGGCTCAAAGCCACCGTGTTTAACTTGAGCCAGCTATCAGTGTGGGTGCCATGAGGCTGAGCCTGAACCAGGCCATGGCTGAGCCGCTTACTCGCACGAGCGGCTCAAGCCCGAGCCAAGCCAGAGCCAAATCCGCACTGAAGATACGGTCCTAAAACCCCGGCTCACCAGACTAATTGGGGGAGTCCTGGTCCCGCTAAGTTTACAATTTTCATAAGCATCAATGAAAAACAAGAATGCAGTGTGCTGTGAATATTTCGGTAGGAGGGTCAGTGAGCACGCGCTTTTGGCGAGCGCGCGCTTTCGGCGAGCGCGCGCTTTCGGCGCATGCGGTGAGACGGCTTGTTGCGGGGATGTTCATCATTGGAATCCGGCAAACCACCCTGGTGAACGCTGCGGTGCATATCCGCCAAATACCACGCGTTATCTTCTTCAACAGTGGACGTGAACGATCCTGTGACGTCGTTTGATAAGAGAAGGCTGCAGTGTGCTGGCGGCATGGTCCAAGTTCACGGAGTTTGACAAATTACACCGCAAATTACTGAATTGTGATCAGGCACACAGCATCAGCAACATCGCCCGTTACAGTATTGCGAACACCTGGCATGACCCTCCTGACAAGAGGCTCACATCCAGACATGGCGGGGGCTACCTCATTAGTGTCTCAATTCTAACGCTCTACGCCTATCTGTTGTATGGAGTCTAGTGAACCCGGGCACTTGGACATATTTTATTTTGAAGTTAGAAATACACTGAAGCTTTCCTGGGTAAACATATTTGGAGTTAGCATTTTCTCTCGGTGGATTTTTTTCTCCGGGTCCTCAGGTTTTCCCCTCCATATGTAAAAACATAATTGAGATTATGTATATTATTTTGCTTGCTTAAATATTCAAGTGAAAAGCCACTTTGTTGAGCGATCATTTGTGGCCAGGTCACTTCTGAAAAATAAGTTAATACCTCAGTGGGCTTTGCCTCATCGGATTGGGATGGTTTAGTTTTATTTGTATCTGTTTGGGTTATTTTTTTTTACCTTTCTCACACTACTATCATATTTTTGTATTGTTTGTTGTTGTCACGTTCTTACCCATCCCTATTGGACATCTGTGAAAAAGAGCTTAATAGGTCATTGGATTCCTCCCGTATAAATGAAGATTTTGAATCTAATCTAGATTTGAAGTTTTCGTGACTGCAGGAATCCATACTCTTTGGTTCTTTCGGTAAAGTCACGTAGGTATAAAATAAAATAAATCACGATATTTCGGGCGCAACACAAGTGACCGTCATCAGGTGGAAGCACCCACAGCAATAAACAATTGCTAAAGTGGGCAAAAGGAGGCTGCTTGTGACACGAGGCTATATATACTTAAGAGGGGGGGGAGGAGCCAGGGAGGAGAGAAAAAGAGGGTGGGGGTGGGGGTGTGGGGTAGGGAGAGTGGCGAAGTTCAAGTTGCACCCGAGCCCGAGTACAACACAATGCCGGGGCTTTGAAGTGCAAGCTCCAACCCGAGCCCGAGTACGACAAAATGTTGGGTCTGGGAAGTGAGCGGGGCTGGAGGGTAGGAGGCTGAAGAAACTGGAGATGTGGATACGAAGGCAAACTATAAAGCAGTTAAGGTTTTACCTGGTTAATAATATCCTTCCAATGATTGCTCAATTTGTATCCATCTTCTCGGTTGAAGTTATGTCTATGTTTATATATCTGGATGGCTTCATGAACAAACCTTTGATAGTAGCCCGAAGGTTTGCAGAACATCTTTGTCTCGAAAAAAACAATATCATAAGAGCCCACAGCGTTATAACAATGGTCTCCTCCCTGGCTCCTCCCCCCCTCTTACGTATATATAGCCTCGTGTCACAAGCAGCCTCCTTTTGCCCACTTTAACAATTGTTTATTGCTGTGGGTGCTTCCACCTGATGACGGGCACTTGTGTTGCCAAAACGTCGTGATTTTATTTATCTTATTTTATACCTACGTGACTTTACCGAAAGAACCAAAGAGTATTCTGAATCTATTTCTTCATTACTGTGTTGCATACAGGAAGGTGGCTTGACGGAGCCGGTGGGGAGCAGCCTCTCGGCAGGTGAGTCACCTTGCCTCTCAGTGGCGCGCTCCCCTTTTCGTGCACAGCTTCGTGGATCTAATCTATTAGGCCGTCCTGGTTATCACAATTATTTTTTTCATTCACTACATAAGCCTCACTGCGGTGGTGTGGTATTAATCATGAAATACCATACACCGTCTCCCGTTAGAGCAGAAGTTGAAGATCCCGTGACATCGTTTGAAAAGAGGCGGCCGCCGTGTGCCCGCGTCTTGGTCTGTTGGAAAAATGACACTGTTAACACTGTAACAATTTTTTTTTATTCCTGAGTAGTAAGTGTTATTTCCTAATTGCTTATTCCTCAAGAGTACAGAAAATGGCTATTATTCCCCACAAACTTTGCTTTTGTGACCAGGACAGTGATATTTTGAAATGTACCTATTTTCAATGAGAAAACGGGTGAATTTGTGTCTTTACGTTCACATAAAGTAAAAAACCAACATAGTAATCAAAATTAACATGTGTTTATTCTAAATTAATACAAAAATGACTACAAAAGATTTAGACACCAAGGCGCACTACCACAGGCGGGACTGGCCACAGCGGACCGAGTTCTCTGTGAGGAGGAACAATTTCGAAAAACTACTCAATTATAAATCTTTTGTAGTCATTTTTGTATTACTTTAGTGTAGTGAGTCCAACTGAGTCGCAGACGTTATCTTGGGAGCAACACTATTTATTCACATAACAGTACGTAACATAACACAACCTACAGGCCGCAGGCGATTCAAATGCTCATCAAACGTGCAGCCGAAAAATGACACTGTTAACATGATGACGTCATCTAAATATATCAGGCACGAATCCCACTGGAGGCCCGCCAATTCCATTAGCCTCTGAAAAGTGACAGGCACGGAATGGAAGCCCCATCGGAAGTCAGTTGAACTCGGAACAGCCCTTGGGGCGTCCGAAAAGCCGTCTGGGGCCTTGAGGCCTCGTCAAGCGGCAACTGCCAAAACCCGAACAAAAGGTCGAGGGTCGAAAAATACCGCGCGCCTGCCAGAGCATCCAATGAATTGTTCATGTGAGGCAGGGGGTAGGCATTCACGACTGAGACTTTGTTAAGTTTCCTGAAATCGACGCAAAACCGCAGACTGCCGTCGTGTTTCTTAACAAGGACACTCAGAGCCCCCCATGGACTGGTGGACGGCGAAATGATATCCGCGGCCAACATTTCATCCACTGCCACATGAACACGGTCCTTCTCAGCCGGACTCGGGTGATAAGGATTTTGGCAAATAGGGGCAGCATTACCCGTGTCAATATGGTGGCTCAATAGAGATGTCCGACCGATATAAAATTTCGACTTACTAAAAATTCTGAAAATTCCCGCAGGAGTGCCCCTTAGCTTCCGCGTTTGGCCTGCAGACAAATCGCCGCATTCCGAACATAGTTTGTCGATCCATGCCTCATCGACCACCGGAGAGCGAATGCCGACCCCGACGTTTCCCACAACATCCACTTTCAGACACGCCGGGACACGTTTGCGATCACGGAACCCTCTTGAATAATTGTAGTGTCAGACCCGGTGTTAAGGACCTGTATAAACGGTGACTGGTCCAGGGAGACCAGCGTCTGCGCCGCAACCAGCGACATCCCTTGAGTTATTTTATTCGATGGACCAAGCACAATGCTGTCACTCAAGGCACGCGCATCGAGCGGTTTTCGCAAACGAAGAGGCACTAGCATTTGCGCGCCGGGGGGGATCCGCACCGTTCGGCATGCAAGTGCCTGCACCGTAGCATTAGCAACATTAATGCGAGTCGGGGATAGAAGAAAAGCCATACGCCGTCCCGACGGCAACTCCAAACACCCCTGATCGATACGAATTTTCAGGGGCATCATGCCGAGAAAATCAGTCCCCAGTAGGCATGGGACAGCCAGGGCCGTGGAAACCAACACGTGGCCCGACAATTGGACATCGGTAATGCGCAACGCAACAGACATCCGGCCTATTATCCCCAACGAACCGCCATTAGCGGCGAAACGCGGAGCATCTACCGACTCCAAAACGCGACACCGGCATGGCAAAATCTTATAAATCAACTCGGATATAATGGTCGAGGACGCGCCAGTATCCATAAGCATGCGCACCTCAACCCCCTCAACAAACCCGAGCAAGGCCGACGACGCCGCGGTTGCCACGACCACGCGACCTGCCAGCTCCGACCACTGATCAGGTCGGAGCGGCCGCGCGTCGCGAACACGACCCGACTCCCCCCGAACACGCACGTGACCCCGACGCACACCGGACCCCCCTGATGAATGAAGGGAACCCCGGGGCCGAGTGTGAGGTGCACCGCGACTCGCCTTAGGGGGTATGGAGTTGTAGGAAGGCGGACGTCCCAAGGCCCGCCGTTGAGGAACCCGGCAGCTCGACTGGACATGCCCCCGGCAGGCCGCAGTTGTAGCAGGTGACCCGTCCGTCGCTGGAACGGGATGAAGCAGACCTCGCCTGCCGCCGGTTGTCCTGCCGCCGATCACCGTCACCCTGTCGATCGGTGCCCCGCTGATGCAGCTAGCACGTGGACACAGCCGCTCCGTCCGTGTGACCCTCGGGCCCCACAAAAGACGCGGAGAATGCCACCAACACCCTGTCATGCTGCAGGGTGTGCTGCGCCTGGATACACCTGGCAATCTTGAGCGAATAAACCTCCCCGCCATCGGCGGGAAGCACAGTGCGGAGATCCTTGGCGAGCTCCAACATCTTCTCAAGGACAAGCGCGTCATGGCCATCGTGACCCATGCGCGGATACGCGGCCAGCGCCAAGAGCGGACTCCTTTACACGAGGACCGATTCAGCGTCACCTCTCCGCCTCACTTTGAACTTCTGGCAGGTGTTCAGCGGAGGTTGAAAAGTGGCGGCCTTCTGGTCAAACACCTGCGTGAGGGTGGTCTTCTCGGACGGCTGGATGGCGAGGAATGCCACCAAAGCATCGTCAACAAGGGCGGCGGGAAGCGCCTTCAGTGCGTCCACTTCCGACCACCCTGCCACATTGGCATTCGTAAGAAATCTTCCTTTAAACACCACCCTATCTCCGTTGGCGGCAACACATTCTTTAATGAAGGGCAGCCAACGGCGAAGCGACTGGACATCAAATGACGAGGACGTCCCCGCTTAAAGCTTGGCGGGTTCCGCGCTCCCCGTCGGGGGCAAAATGGTGCCCGCGAGCGCGGACAGCGGCGATGGCGTTCCCACCCTTCGCGAAATGGCGGCTAAGTCGCCTCGTTCAGACAGCTCCGCCGCTCCTTCCTTCGCCGTCGAGGGGAAGGACTGCATCTCGACGAGGATGGAGGACGCCGCGAGACGGCCATGCGCATCCCTGATGAGTTCCTCAACAGAAGGCGAGGCGCCCCGCGCCCCGGCTGCACCCTGCTCCGCGGCCAGCATCTCCGCTCCATCCTCATCGGCCGTGGGCGGAATCAGCTCCTCGTCGTCTTCGTCGTTCGATGCACGTACATGAACTCTGCGACGTGTAGGCATACTTGTCTACCGCTAGCTACAGCTTAGCAAGTTGACCACTTCCGACACCAATTGTAGTGAGCCAACTGAGTCGCAGACGTTATCTTCAGAGCAACACTATTTATTCACATAACAGTACGTAACATAACACAATCTACGCTCGGGTCTCGAATGCCCATCTCACTGCGCTACGGCAGAACTAGACACGGTTCACTATCCCGGTCCGGACCACAATCTGGGTCCCGGCACCATACAGTGACAAGTACAGTCACTACATTAGTATAAATACATGTTCATTTTGATTCATGTGTTGTTTATCTGTCACTTTATGTGAACGAAAAGACACAAATTCGCCTGTTTTGTCATTGAAAATAGGTAAATTCCAAAATATCACTGTCCTGGTCACAAAAGCAAAGTTTGTGGGGAATAATATCCATTTTCTGTACTTTTGAGGCATAAGCAATTATGAAAAAACACTTACTACCCAGGAACAAAAATTGTGTTACATAGTGTAATCAATCGGCATTCTTTTTCACCTGATGACGGACGCTTGTGTTGCGACCGAAACGTCGTGTTCTTTTATTATTGTTTCTATCTACGTGACTTTACAGGAAGAACCAGAGAGTATACTGTATATCAGTACAAATTTCATAAGTATGTAATAAAGGACTCTCAGCCGATGTCACTCTCCGTTGGTCCTTTATTGGGTTCTTGCTCGCACCCCGCAATGTCTCCGCTCCGACCCGCACCTTCTCCGCCTCGTGCCTCCGCACGTCGTCTGAGTCCTCCGCTCCCGCTCACTCTCTCTGCAGCCACCCCGCTGCTCGTGTGCTCCGCACACTCCGCAGCCCCCTTGCTGCTCCGTGTGCTCCCCGCGCACCCCGCAGCCACCCTGCTGCTCCGTGTGCTCCCGCACACTCTGCAGACACCCCCGCTGCTTTACGAACACCGCTGGCCGACGGTGCCGTGACTCCTGCCTCGTGGCAATCGCGCCACTCCTCGCCAGCACTCCGCGTGGCCTCTCCCTTCTCTATTCTGTCTCCACTCCCGATCCCCTTCCGGTTCTCCCCCTATGTCCTCCCCCTCACGTGACCCTTACTCCTCCTCCTCCACACGTGACCCTGACTCCGCCCACACTCACGTGACCCTGTCCTTGCTCGCATTACAAGTATATAAACAACGAATGCCAGCTTGGGGCAAAGCAGCAAAACAACAACAAAAGTCCCGGACCACAACAAAAGACAACACACAGTCCCTCAATAAAATTGTACATTAAAATTTTGCTATCGATGGTACATGTGTAGGGGTTATTACGGGACAAACGGCGGACGAGAAACACAGGGGTGTCTGCACTCACACACACGGGTGGTCACACCGACGTCCGCATCCGTTATCCCCCACGCCCCCGCCCCTCTGAGGGGATCCCTATAAAAGGCGGGGAGCCAGAGAGCTCGAGGCAGTTCGACACGAAGCTGACCAGTGAAGATCGAAGACTCGGAGATTAGGCCCTGGGACTCCCCTGTCTCGCTGCCCTTGTCAGGGCCGAGCTGGGTAAGCCAGCGGCGCGGCGCGGCCCAAGAGCTCCCAGACCTCTGCCCTTGTGAGGGCAAGGCCGGCTTAGCTGGTGCCGAGATCTGTGCTTGCCAGGGCCAGATCAGTCAGCCTCCCGTAGCCCATTAGAGGAGGACTGGGGAACAGGACAGAGGGCTTAGTACTAGGGTGGGGTTCCCATAGTACGGGTGAAGGGGCCGTTACCCCTTCAACTATTGTGCCTGTCACTGAGTTAATAAACAGAGTGTGCCTCAACTCCGACCTCGTCTCCTCGACCTTACTACACATGGGTAAGGATCAAAGTTAGAAATCACAATTTTAAATGTACCTGCTGTCTCCAGCACTAAATTGAGAGACGCATAGCAATCGTAACTGATGACTGCAAAAATGTTGCAGGACCCTCCATAAATAAGTTTGATCAACAAAATTATCCTAATCAAACCAAGAGTATGGATTCCTGCAGTCACGAAAGCTTCAAATCAAGATTGTACCACCGAAGGATGAGGTTGTGTGAGGCCATGGCACTCTGGTTGACCCGGGAGAACACGTGACCAGTTAAGTTGACAAAGGGACCCCAAGTGGGGGCTAGGGGGGGGTCACATGATTGGGACCCAGATCCTTCCCGAGGATTCTGAAAGGTGGACGTGGCCAAGGGCGGAGCCGGCCATGCCACAGAGAATATAAGCCGGGTCCCGAGAGGGACCAGGATTGTTGTTCATCCTGGAAGAAACCCTTCGTCTACGTTCTCCGTTCAACGAGTCTCCAACACGTGGACCCGGGCTGAAGTCGTTGGTCCCGGTCCATAGTAGCAGTTACGTTGTAACTAGTGTAGTTAGCCTGATGGTCACCACCTTAGATTGTTATTCTGTTAAGGGGAAGTTACCCCGTATGTTGGAACTGAATAAATGTGTTGCCTCCAAGTCTCCATCTGCGACTCAGTTCAACCCATTACACTTGTACTTTTTGATGTTCTCTGGTCGGACACTGGTGAGACAAGGCCATTAAGTAGGCTGTCTCTGGTGTAAGCCAATCTGTTTGAAAGATAATGCATAACATGATCAAAAAATATTTGTTTGCATATTTTACCACGGAAAATGATGTGTGGTTAATGCAGATCATATCTTGAAATAGGTGCCGATTCGGTGTTTAAACATCTTCACCCCTCCTGTATTTTTGTTTTTGTCATTATATAGATTTATATATTGCCTTAATTAGAGGCACGATATAAATATATATCAGATAAGATTATCACATCAGCCTACGCTGAACGACATTAACTCCTATTTCACTAGATTGCTTTGCTCAATGACTCTCTCTATGTAATACTTAAATTAAATATTCACATACATTGGTCGCAATGACAGTAAATCTATCAAAAGTTGATCTTTTTTACCTTGAATGTTTCTGTTAAGCGAATCATGTCTTTGCACCCTTCACAGGGAAGCGTCAAACCGAACAAGATAACGAAGGAGATAACAATGAAGGAGATGCCGTGGAACCAAAATCTACGGCGGACGGGCGGCTCGGAGGGCTGCAGGCAGACACAAGGGAGCTTGGCTCCCTCATGGCTCAGAAGGATTCGGAAATCGAGTCTCTGCTGGTGCAGCTGAAGAGCCGCGAGGAGGAGGCCCATAGCCTGCACGGCCAGGTCTCCGACATGGCCTCCGAGCTGCACACGCTGCACGGGCAGATCCAGGAAATGGCGCGGCAGAGGAGTCCGCTGGAGGCCACGGAAAGTGACAACAGGGCTCTGAGAAATAACCTGACACAAGGGGACTTGAATGGTCCGCCAGAGCATTCTGCTAATGAGGCTGGGAATGGGATGCTCAGCAGCCAGCTCTCTGATAAAGATGCACCAAAGGGATCGGTGAACTCCCCCGGGAAGGAGTTTGGGAATGACGAGGGATGTGATGGTGACAATGATAATAATAGTAGTAACGTGGATGATGACGCCAACCTCAGGGCTCTGTCAAAAAGCAACGAGCGCATAGAAGAGCTTGAAGAAACAATCCGAGAGAAAGACAGTGAGATCGGTACAATGGGTCATCAGGTGCAGGAGCTGAGGTTCCAGCTGCAGGAGCGTTCCGCATTGGGGGAGGCGGCCGCCACCGCCTCCTCCTCCACTCAGACCGACGGTCACACCGACTCCGAAGCTCCGGTGGGCAGTGATGGACCTCAGCAGTCTCATGCACGGCCGGTACAGGCTGAAGGCGACGACCTGAATGCGGTGGCGACACGTCTGACGAGAGAAGATGGCGGCATTGGGCAGAGAGGTCCCCCCGAGGGCCGCCCCATCGTGGGTGACGTGGCCGACGGGCTTCAGCTCTCAGTGAAGCAGCTGGGTCCCGGCAGAGAGAGCGACGGACTCGGCTCCGAAGAAAACGCGCGGCAGCAAGACCCACGGGTGAGCCGGTCCACATAGAGCAGCATCGTTCATGATGCTCGTTCACCCAGGAATGCCTCGTCAGGACTCAAAACTCTTTTTTCAGGAGGATCCTGCCAATTTTTCTGTAGAAGGGGGCTCGATGCTGCTGCTGCTGTTGTATGTGATCCCAGTTAACCGGTGGCATAGCGGTTAGTGAGCTACGCTACGAACATGGCAACCCAAGTTCGATTCCCACTCACAGCCAACACCAGTGACGATTATCTGAACCAGTCCTAGTCCTCCCCTAGGTCGACTCATCCTCAAATTAGTACCTGTTGTGATGTGTAAACATCGGCACTTTTCTTGGTGCAGTTTATATTCGCTCCTTCTGTTCTGCATGGGTTTGCTCCAGGATTTCTGATTTCCTCCTGTGGCTAATAACCATACAATATAACTGGTAGTGACCAATATATACTGATGATGCCAATTACATAACTGGGATTACACACAGCAGCAGCAACATCTTGAGACTCAGTGAAATATTCGCGGGTAAACAACAGTTATGATTTTGATGGCAAAGGCAGTCCAAGGGCCGAGGAATGAGTGACCATAACAGAGGTCACGAAAGGGCTATAGGGGAGGGAAGGAGTGGATGGCAAAGGGAAGAAGAGGTGGCACTTTAAGAGAGGAATGGAAGGAAGTTAAGGAGCAGGACTGCTTAATGTACGGTGAGGTGTCAAGTCTACAGGCATTGTTGAGTTTACGGATAGTACTGAGTCTATAGGCAGTGTTGAGTCTATGGGCAGTGCTACTTAATGTACAGGGGAAGTTTATTCCAGTGGAAGGGTACAAGGAGGGAAACACATAATAGTAAACTTGATTTGAAGCTTTTGTGACTGCAGGAATCCATACTATTTGGTTCTTTTGGTAAAGTCACATAGGTATAAAATAAAATAAAACACGACGTTTCGATCACAACACATGCAATACCCTGGTGTCTACAAACTGAGTTGTGGTTGTGGCAGCAGTTACATTGGGGAAACGAAACGACATCTCTCGGACCGCGTTCGTGAACACAAAGCAGATCTGAAACACGGTAGGACCAATACCTCTGCCGTTGCTGATCGTTGTTTTAATGCTGTGGGCTCACACGAAATTGATTTTTCCAAGACGGAGGTACTCTGCAAACTTACCGGTTACCTTCAGAGATTTGTTCATGAAGCCATCCAGATATATAAACACAGACACAACTTCAACCGAGAGAATGGGTAAAAACTGAGCAATCATTGGAAGGACGTTATTAACCAGGTAAAGTCTTAACTGACTGTGATGTTTCCATCCTACCTGCCTATGTCAGCTGTTATTTCCGACTCTCTCTCTCTCTCTATGCCTCTCTCTTAGATCTCTCACATGTCCTTTGGATTGCACTCTCATGCTCACATGTCCTTTGGATTGCACTCTCATGCTCACATGTCCTTTGGATTGCACTTTCATGGTGCTAATCTCTCATTAACACTTCTGTTGTGCGCATATGCAGGTATGATACTCTTATGCGGCGACGGAAGCTCATTCATGCTAATCTCCCACCCTAATCCCTCTCTCCCTAATCTCCCAAATGAACACAACTAACGTGCTTGCGTCCGTGGATGGAATTATTTTCCAGCTCAGACCCCGCTTGCTTGCCCATCGACACATATATAACCTTGTTGTAACTGCTCTCTCACTGGTTTTTGCAGTTCCACTGCTGGATTATATTTTTTTCGCCTGAGAACGACCGCTTGTGTTGCGATCAAAACGTCGTGATTTATTCTATTTCATACCTACGTGACTTTACCGAAAGAACCAAAGAGTATAATAGTAAACTGCACGCAGTGTGCCAGTGTGTAACGGGCGCGGTCTGTGCCGACTCCGCAGCCACCGGAGGGCGAGGGCACAACCCACGGCGATGGCAGTGCAGATTGCCATGGAGACGTGGAGCAGCGGCCGGGTCGTGGCATGGAGGAGGAGGAAAACGAGGAGAGGTGCGAAGCTCAAGCACGTGGGGGCAGGGCCGGCGCTCCAAGCGGCCCGCTGGGTTTAGGTCATCTCCACGTTAATCAAAGGGACACAACTCAGCTCGCTAGCAAAGGCCTTCGTATGAGTTTTAGATAAAAAATATATATGAAGTACAGTAAGTCCCCATATAACGCGGTAGTAGTCGATGCTGCGTTAATTTAAAAATGCGTAAAGCGAAAACAGTTCCCCATAAATAATGTCATGATAAAGTTTGGCAAGATACCATGTACTATGCACACGAAGTGAGATCACGTGACAAATAACTGAGGGTGCACCACCACCTTACTCTATCATTACACATACTGTATCACTGTACCGCTCAGCTCAAGAAAGTAGTTAGTAGTCAACCGCTCAGAAATGACGTTATAACGGCACGTGTTGCGCGTTATAATGGTATCATTCTGCGTTTGAACGGCACGCGTTCCGCACTACAGTGGTTTATGTTCTGTGTTACAGTACATTTACGTGTTATAATGGCACGCGTTCCGCTTTATTACAGTGCGCATTATGTGTTGTGCGAAACGTGTTCCCGAATGGAAGAACCGCGTTATAGCTAAAACGCGTTGTGTCAACACCCCGCGCTGACCAAGCACTTAACGTATTTAGATTTTTTTAGGACGAGATTTTTGGATCCATTTACAATTGTGATAGCATAGTGCGCCTCCCAGTCAACACACGTGATGCCATCGTGATGCCATCGCAACGTGTTTACAGTTGAACAGTTATTTGTTTTAAAGCCTCAATAGAGGCAACGTCGGTGCATGAGTCACACAGCCCTCAAGTGCCCTTGGACAGAGCTGCGACTCCACTGGCACAAAGGGCAATAGGCCGGTGGTGTAGCAGTGACAATCGCGCCTCACACCAAGAAGCACCTGAGTTAAATTCCAGACTCGGGCATCTTTATGCATTACTTTTGTATTCTCTCCCCCTGTTCTACATGGGTTTTCTCTAGGTTCTCCGGTTTCCTCCCATGATTAAAAAAACATAATAATAATAAGAAATTCAGTTTGTCTAGCGTATTTAATGCTAATTACATCCCAGGCATACAATGTAACTGGCATTGGTCAAACATCCTAATGATTATTTGAAATTTACGCTATTGCAGGACCATTGCCGCCTAATGCAAAAAAGTTGGCAGGAACCTCCTGAAAAAACAGTTGAGGCCGTCCTGGATGAACTCGCACAATCGTCAACATGACGATGCCTCGCTCGTTCTGTGGGGGGCGCCGCATGTAATCTACCTCGCCTGTTTTGTAGGAGGTCGTGTGTTCGATTCCAACCCTGATGCCTATATATTAGGAGCTTACGTGTTCTCCCCGTGGTCCCGTGGATTTCTCACCGGGTCTTACGGTTTTTCCCTCCATTTATAATCAGCATGCGTTTACAGTATTTGGCTGCTATACATTTCCACATGATAAGCAACTTCATTAAACTATCATTTGTGGCCAGGTTGCTTCTAAAAAAGAGCTACATAGCTCAGTGGGCCTTATCTGGTAAAATATTTTTTTATACATTTTTATAAAATGTATACAGTAAACCTTTGTTAATTCGACACATGGGGCTCTAGCTTTGCCAAATTATTCAATATTCCGAATGATGTATAATAGCACTCTCAATGCCTCCTGCCCCAATTAAAAAAAAAAAATGGAAATTTGTTTTCCAAAAACAGTAACACTTACCATCAGTAACCAGCACCGCAGATGAAGAAGGAGGATGTGGTAGGTGACAGATCTTTTGGAGGAGGGCTTAATGCACTTAGTATTCACCTACTGTATGTATGTTCACTTTTATCACTAAATTATAACTTAAACACAAAATTACACTAACTTAAACTTCACATTTTTTACTTAACAACTTTTTTACTTAAAGACTACATTATTTAACACTTTTACACCACATTACTTGCTGTCAGACGATATCAGCTGATGTGGCACTTGACTGCTGACAGAGGTGTCTGTGGAAGAATATCCAGAGACTGAAGACACTGCACTGGAGGCTTCATTGCTGGTAGGACGTGGCGAATGGCGTCATTCTACATGTATTCCGAAATTGGGCCATTCAGTATGGCAATTCGGCTCATGCCAAATTACTAATATACAGTATTTGCTGAAAGTGCAGCTTTGCTGAATTCTCCCCAATAGCAAATGATCAAATATCGAGGTTCAATGTCGTGTATAACGACGCTGCTGCCCGCCCTCGTTGTGTCTCTGCTCGGACAGGTTCCATCAGCGCCTCCTGGAGGATGAGGATGTTAAGATGCTGCTTACGCGCATCAGGCAGACTGACCAGGAGTTGGTTCACGTCAACCTGCAGCTCGCCCAGGTACTAGCACAGGGAATTGCGACATGGCGTTGGATGTGGTGGTCGTGGTGGTTGTGATCATGAATCTCATTTAACAGAGCGCTTCGCATGTGATAAGAGAAACGTGTCGCTTCTCATTTCAAATGTTAAAAGTACACCGCCAATGACAGCTGTCCCTGTGCGGGAGTTAGTCTGTCAGTGCGAGGGCGTCGCACGCTCAACCATAAACAGGACCCTGCGGAGTGGGCTGGTAGGAATAATACTAATACCGGTACAGGGATATCGACCGGGTATAGAGGAGTTAAAAAGAAAATGATTTGTGCATGGGGGGTGAGCGATGACGTCCACACCCCCCTCCCCACTGACTCGCGCGCACTCAGAGCAATGACGTCAACACCCCCCTCCCCACTGACTCGCGAGCCCACAGAGCAATGACGTCAACACCCCACTCCCCACTGACTCGCGCGCCCACAGAGCGATGACGTCCACACCCCCCTCCCCACTGACTTGCGCGCCCACAGAGCAAGGATTGCAACAGGCGATGTCATTGGCTGCGCCGGATGCGACGGCCATCTTGTTTAGTTCATTTAGTTCACGGATCGCAGGGGGAGCGGGCGGCCATCTTGTCAGACAGACGGACGGCCTCGCGAAGCCTGTCGCAGTAGGCCTCGCGAAGCCTCCTGCACCAGGCCTCGCGAAGCCTCCTGCAGTAGGCCTCGCGAAGCCTTCTGCACTAGGCCTCGCGAAGCCTTCCCTGCAGTAGGCCTCGCGAAGCCTTCTCTGCAGTAGGCCTCGCGAAGCCTTCTCTGCAGTAGGCCTCGCGATGCCTTCTCTGCAGTAGGCCTCGTGAAGCCTTTTCCGCAGTAGGCCTCGCAAAGCCTGCCGCACTAGGCCTCGCAAAGCCTGCCGCACTAGGCCTCGCGCCGTGCTTTTCGTGCACAAATAAGGCGATTAAATGTATCTTGTCTCTGTGTTAATAAATGTATCTTGTCTCTGTGTTAAAAAAACGTGCTGCGTTTCAGTAAAGTAAATTTGAAGCGAAGTTTATTATTACACTTGTTAAGCCAGGAAAGCCCCACTGAGTCAAAAGGTTTTTGTAGGGTCCTGCCAAGTGTTTGCAGTAGGGGGCGATGTTGCTACACCAAATCGGACGACGATACGAAGGGAGAGATTGAGGCCTAGTTCTAGGCTTTAGGCCTAGCTGTAGGCTTTAGGGCGCTGTGAGTTAATTTTTAATTTAAATGTTTTAATGATTTATGTAAAAGCTTTAAATTTAAATGTTTCTATTTAAAAACATGAGGGAATGTAACATTGTTAAACATAACTCCCTTTCACACACGCGGGGGTACGATACGAAGGGAGAGTTTCAGGCCTAGTTCTAGGCTTTAGGCCTAGCTGTAGGCTTTAGGGCGCTGTGAGTTTTTTTTAATTTAAAAGTTTTAATTAAAAGCTATCTCAGGGAATAAGGGAATGTTACACGTGTCATGCCAAGTGTTTGCAGTAGGGGGCGATGTTGCTACCAGGATAGCGTCACTGAGTCTAAAGGTTTTTGTAGGGTCATGCCAAGTGTTTGCAGTAGGGGGCCATGTTGATCCACGGACGGACGGACGGACGGACGGACAGTCGGACGGACGGACGGACGGACACATTAATCTATTGGTGGTCTGGTCCACTTCGTTCCTACCAGTATTAACGCCGTCATGATGATTACCACAATGCATGGTTATACAGGACAGCCTCAAGACTCATTAGCAGGGGGCAATGTTGCTGCTGGTCTGTGTGATTTCAATTGAATAATTTGCAGGTTAGTTTTCAACATTGCGATGTTTGGCCAACACCATGTGTATTTATGCCTGGCCGTGTCAGAGTGCTTTACATGCGATAAGCGACTTACACCGCATCTCTAACATTTGAATGCGCGCTTCCAGTAACAATTGTCCCTGTGCGGCACGAAGTGACTCTGCACGTGGCTTGCAAATGTCTCCATGTCGTCATCGTCTTGTCGTCGTCGAGTCATCGTCATGTCATCGTCGCGTCATGTTGTGTCCATGTCATTGTCATGTCATCTTTTTGTCATTGTTGTGTCCACATCATTGTCTCGTCGTCGTGTCATCTTTGTGCCATTGGCGTGTTATTCTGTTGTCTTGTCCGTGTCGTCGTGTCCCATGTCGTCGTCGTGTTGCCGTCCTATCATCGTTGTGTCATTCGCTTTAGCAGGGTGCTCCTCTAGGGGACAGTAGCCTGCTGAGCCAGCTGCTGCGCCAGTTGGCGGGGCTCACGGAGCATGTGTGCTCGCTCACCGCCGAGAAGGCGGCCCTGCGCCGGACCGTGCTCGCCATGGAAAGGGAGAATGGGCACGCTGGGAACGCCCACCCGGCACGACGGGCCACCTCGGAGCCTGGTGGCCACGTGAGTGACGGCGGCATGTGAAGTGGGGCATCCCTGGTGGCAGCTGTCCCTGTGCGGCACAAGGTGACTCGGCACCTAGCCTGTGATGGGGCGTTAGTCTGCCAGTGGGGAGTAGCGATGACTGCTCTGTGTGATGCAACTTAGCACCGTGTACTGACATCACGGTCCAAATTTTTATAAATTCAGAACACTTGCAAATTCAGAATCAGAATCTTTATTTAGATTGGAGGAATCTGATGAGCTATGAAGGTATTTCACAAATATCTAGTAGTGGGTGGTGTCAGCAATTTACAACAACAAACAATACACAAGATGATCGACGATAGGAAAAAGGTAAGCAAGTCACTAAAATGAATACATTTAAAGAAAGTATATAAGTAAATCCCATGTGTTGTGAATTGTGCAGTTTCCATGAATCCTGCTCTGTATAAAAACACCAATTGTTCGTCTCATCATTATTGTTTTAACTTGTATTTTGAATAAATTTAGGTCATCTCCACGCTGAGCGTTTGCCCAGCGAGTCAGATGTGTGGGCGATGGACTCCTGGTCTGTGCCTTGACCCCCCGCAGGCCAGCGGTCAGCCGGGCGTGGGAGAGGCTCACGATGGGAGCCACGTGCAGGAGGAAGAGGAGCGGGAGGATTGTGAGCAAGACCCTTTTGAGTCTGGACGCATCCCTACGCCGTACGTGCCAGCTGGCAAGGTACGAGAGTCACTGCCTCCTGATTTTATGAACAAAGGTAAGTTTTTTCACAGTAGGGGGCAATGTTGCAGCTCCTGCTGTGTACTCCCAATTGGGTAATTTGAAGATTATTTTCTCAGCATTGGGATGTGTAGGCAATACCAACTACAGTCCTCCCGGAGATGCGCCCAGCCGCTGCTTCGCTTCACGTTCCCAGTTGGGGTTGATGCAGAGCAATCATCGCTCCCTCGCCATGAACACCAGTGACGATTATCTGAACTGGGCCTAGGCCTCCCCTAGGTAGAAACAGCCTCAAATGTGTTCCCAGTGCGGTGTGTAAAACATTGCCACAAGGGGATACGAAGTTGGTGTGGTGTTGGCCACTCAGCCCCTCATGTGTCGTGCCGGCCTTCATAGGCCCTGCTACTCACTAACACCACTTACCCCAACAATCTGTAAAGGCTACAATGTACCTTTGTCTTGACGGCACATTTCCCGCTACGTGTCTGGTGCAGTTCGCCGAGGTGTACGAGCAGTTCCTGCAAAGCGAGCGACACCGGCGATCACTCGTCTTCCAGAAGCAGTACCTGCTGCTCGCGCTCAGCTGGGAGTTGGGGCGGAGAGACAGTGTGGGGGGGATGACGGCGATGACGACAGCGACGGCGGAGAGTGGCACGGCCCTCAAGAGGCTGCGCATCGCCGTCAGGGCCGTCATGGCCGCACGCAGGTAGTGGAGGCACCGCCACCGTCCGGTCGGGAGGGGGCGGTGAGGGGGATGGGACGGGGAGGGGGCAGTAATGGGTTGTCGGGGAGAGGGCGGGGAGGACCGGGGGCGTGGAGGGGTAGTGGGGAGGGGAGGGGGTGCTTTAACCAAGCGGTGTCGAGGCAACAACAGCGATGGTTGTTGTGAAACTCGTTTCCCGTGGACGTCGAGGAGGTGCCCAACCCTGGCTCGCCAGGAGCAGACAGTACAGCCAGGGGACTGATTGCTGTCTGTTTCCGTCTGTATGGGGAACAAGTGTTTGCCCCCCTTCCTCTCGAATGTGTGTATTCACTTGACGCTCTGGATTCACAGGATATAATAAACACTCATTAATTGACTGAAAATATATTTTTAAAATGTAGGACCTTACTGAAAAAGACTCATGACTCTGTATGCCTCTCCTGAATGCATATAAAGAGCAGGGCAGGGGTAGACGCACGGTCACGCGTATGCCCATGCGTGGTTCTGTGCGGGGCTGTGGAGGCTGGGTCATGCAGCCGAGCCACCATGTGCTGCCCAAGCATCTTCTGTGTTTTCCGGATAGAGGGGGTTAAATGGGCTCGGCACGGGCTGGAGAAGAGATGGGATGATACGGTACAGGAGGATGTGGAGCTGAGTGGACTTGATGAAAATCAGTTCCAGCCGTGTCAAGATCAGCCTCTATGGAAGAGGCTCATGAAGGATGCTACTGGGCAGTTGGGGGCAGTCGCCCTCCAACAACAGCAGAGGGTGGAGGAGCGATGCTCACAGCAACAAGCAGAGCACCAGGCGGATAAAATACAGCGAATTGCCACAGTAGGGGGACATAGGTGGTGCATCTGCCAGTCATAACAGTGTACCCATGGCACCTGGGTCTGTCCTGTGACCTCCTGCCAGCGGGCCTTCGACACTTCACGTGGCCTCGGAGTGCACCTGGCCTGGCACAAGTCCTGTGGTGATGTCACCGCCTTTTCATGGCTAATGGAAGATGCTGTTGGTGTTGTTGGTTCTGTGCTATCGTGCGTGATGCCAATTTCCCCGGCAGGTTTCAGCTGCAAGGCCATGACAGGCAGCTCTACTACCAGCTCCCAGGTAATACTCATTATTATTGAGACTTCACCCTTCCCGGCAATAATACAGAAGGTGTTAAGATGCTCAAATACAGAATAGATGCCTATAAGTCACAAGGCATCAAGTCTGCATTAACCACACGTGCTTGTAGTAAAACATGCAAACAATATATGCGTAGTTATTGAAACTGTGTGGTTCATGCAGACTTGATGCCTTGCAATAGGTGTCTATTTGGTGTTTGAACATCTTAACACCTCCGCTATTCTTGCAGGATCAAGCCAATTTTTGTTCATAATTTTGATACCAGCAAAAAGGGTCCCATCCATATAACTGCTCAACCGGAGCCATTCATGCTTTGATATTTGCATTGTCCTTGTACTGTTTGTCATGTTGCATTCTTTGGTTTAACAAATTGGAAGTTGAGGAAACAAACCTAGTAAACTTAGAAATGTAATGCAATGCAACACAGTCGGCTAACACAACCGTTAACACTTTACCTGGTTGATTACTTTCTTCCAAAGATTGCTAAATTTGAAGTTAAGTGTGAGTTGTGTGGAAATCCTCCCCGTGGAGGTGGTTCAAACTTGATTTGAAGCTTTCGTGACTGCAGGAATTACTCTTTGGTTCTTTCGGTAAAGTCACGTAGAAATGAAAGAAATCTGTTCGTTCATTCGTTTCTCAATCTGCTTGTCCTGGTGAAGGTTGCAGCGGCAGCATATTGAGTCGGGCGGTCCAGACCTCCCTTTTCCTGGTGACAGACTCTTCCTGGGGAATTCCCAGGCATTTCCAGACCAGCCGAACGATATAGTTCCACCAGCATGTCCTGGGTCGGCCTTGGGTCTTTTCCCAGTGGGACGTGCCAGGTAGAGTTCCAGGGAGAGTTTACCAGGTGGAATCATTACCAGGTGCCCGAACCACCTCCACTGACTCCTCTCGATTCAGATGAGCAGTGGCTTGACTCTCAGGCCCTCGCGGATTACCGAGCTCCTCACCCGATCACAAAGTGTGAGTCTGGCAACCCTGCAGAGAAACCTAATTTTCGCTCCTCATACCCGCGATCTCGTATTTTTGGTCATTACCAAAAGCTCATGCCAATAGGTGAGGGTGGGAACATAGATCGACCTGTAAAACAAGAGAACTCGGCTCTCGCTTCACTAGCATGGAACGATACAGCGCCCGCAATACAGCAATTGCCGCACCAATCCGCCGGCCGATCTCCCGCTCCCACTTACCATCACTCACGAAAGAGACCCCGAGGTACTTAAACTCCTCCACTAAGGGCAGCTTTTCCTCTCTCACCTGAAGAGCACAGTCCACCATCTCCCGGGAGCGAAACATGACCTCAGATGTGGAAGTGCTGATCCTCATCCTAGCCGCTTCACACTCAGCATCAAACCATTCAAGTGCACGCTGGAGATCACAAACTGACGAGGAAAAGAGAACAACATCATCTGCAAAAAGCAGCCATGCCACCTCCATGCACCCGTACTGGATACTCTCCATACCTCGGCTGCGCCTTGATATCCTGGCCATGAAAATCACAAACAGGAGTGGAGACAAAGACGCACCCTTGGCGTGTCCAACACCCACAGTGAAAGGCTTTTATTTAACATCAAGAATACAGACACAGCTCTCACTTCGGGACGAGAGGGACTGGATAGCACGCAAAAGCGGCACCTGTAGATCATATGCCTGAAGCACCTACCAAAAGACATTGCGGGGAACACGGTCATATGCCATCTCCAACTCTACAAAGCAGAGGTAGACTGGAGAAGCATACTCCTGTGACCCCTCAAATATCTGTGAGAGCAAAAATGACCTCCCCTGGAGTGTAGAAGTTTTCCTGGAGGTGGCAGTTGACACTTTTGTGCACTGGGTCTTCTGGCAGACGTTCCCAGAAAACCCACGCTGTTAGTTTGGGCCTTCCACGTCTATCTGGTCGGTGCCCCAAGCATCGGATCTAACTTACCACGAGGTGGTGATCAGTTGACAGCTCTGCCCCTCTCTTCACCTGAGTGTCTGGAACATATGGACTTAGGTCCGATGATACGACTATAAAGTCAATCATTGACCTTCGGCCTAAGGTGCTTTGGTATCAAGTACACTTATGAGCATCCTTGTGTTCGAACATGGCGTTTGTTATTGACATTCTGTTACTAGTGCAGAATTCAAATAACATATCACCATTTGGGTTTAGATCAGGGGGGCATTCCTGCATTCACGCCTCTCGAGGTATCTCCATCATTTCCCATGTGAGCATTGAATTCACCCAGTAAAATTATAGAGTCAGTAGGCGGCACTCTATCGAGCACTGCACCCATCGTCTCCAAGAAGGCCGAATACCCTGAACTGCTGTTTGGTGCATAAGTACAGACAAGTCAGAGTTTTCATTTTTGAAACCCGAAGTCTCATTGAGGTGACCCTCTCATCCACTGTGTAATAAAGGACTCTTTCTCAGTGTCGATCTCCGTTGTCCTTTATTTGGGTTCGTGTAAATCTCGCTCCCACGGCGTCCTCGCTCAGGCCCGCGTCTCCTCCGTCGATCACTCCACAGCCACCCTGCGGCTCCGTTCCGCAGCCTCACTGCTGCTCCACCCTGCAGCCACACTGCTGCTCCGCTCTGCAGCCACCCTGCTGCTCCGCTCTGCAGCTAGCCTTCCACAGCCCGCTAGCCCTCTGTGCCCTGACACCGATGGCCGACGGTGCCGAGGTCTCCCAACACGTGGCGATCGCGCCACCCTCCCCGTACTGCCCAGCGTGGCCTCCTCCCGTTTCACTCCGTCTCAACTCCCCGATCCCCTTCCGGTTCTCTCCCTAAATCCTCTCCCCCACGTGACCCTAACGCCTCCCTCTCCTCACGTGACCCAGACTCCGCCCCCCTCAATCCTTGCTCGCATTACACGACCCCCCCCCCCCTGATGAAAAACCCAGCCGTCCCCGGCTGCAACAGAATAAAATAATGCGAGCAACTTTTTAACCATCGGGCATCACCGGACAACGGAGATTATAACAAGACGATAACAAGAACAACAAGAACAAGAACACAATCAACGAAAGGAAAGGGATTTGGAACGCGTGCGGGTCGCCGGCCCGTCCCGAACGGGCGGCGGCCCCCCACAGACCGAGAACGCGACGGGGTTTTAAGAGCGATGGGATTAGAACCGCCCGCCGCTGTTGGAGGTGGGGTTGGAGGGGCAGCGGGGTCAAGTGTCCCCGTCGCCGTGGTAGGCCCACCCAGAGCAGGATTCGCTGCATCCGCCTGTGTCACAGCTGGTTCGTCTGTAGAAGGCACGACAGGCGCGCTTGCAGGGTCAACAGGCAAAGGCAGAGGTGCGTCGGATGCAACAGACACCGGCAAGGCAACATCACGAGATGACGCATCCGTCAGCGGGGCCACGTAGGGTTTCAACTGAGACGTATGGACGTACCAGCGCCGCGATCCGAACCAAACACACGCGGACTGTGGGTTAGGAACCTCAATAAGCTTAACCGGCCCCTGCTATGGTTTGTGCAGCTTAGAGGAGGTCCCCGCCCGCACCTGCGGGCAGTGCAGCCAGGCCATGTCCCCCACTCGCCAGGGGCATTTACCATTCGAGCGCTGGGCGCAACGTTCGTTCCGTGCTTGGGTCTTGGCAGTAGCCAATCGGGCCCCCTCCTGTGCCTCGGTGACGCGTCGAACAGTGTCTTGAATGTACTCGGGGAGAGGCTTAACAGGACCCTTTTCCCCCGTACCCAACTGTACGTCCACCGGCGGCACATTCTCGCGGCCGTACATTAGAACAAATGGAGAATACCCTGTGGACGCATGAGGCGTCATCCGATACGCGGAGAGTACCCCAGGGATATGCAAATCCCAATCAGCTTGTTTCTCGTTAACCGTGTGACATAGCATGGCCGACAGCGTCCGATTAAGCCGTTCCACCATGCCATCCGTCTGCGGGTGGTAGGGAGACGTACGAACCTTCTTGGTTCCCAGAGCAGCGCACACTTCCGCCAACAATTTAGAAGAAAAATTTCGCCCGTGATCCGTGAGCAGCCTTTCCGGCGCCCCTTTGTCCATTACATATCCAAACAGGAAGGCGTCCATGATAGACGCCGCCGACTGGTCGGGTAAGGGCCAAGCCATCGGCCAGCGGGAAAGATATTCCACCCCGACCAGCAAAAATGTATTGCCCCTAGCGGATGGCGGGAAGGGTCCCAAAATATCCAACGCCAGCAACTCGTTAATCCGAGACACCTGTATAGACTGCACCGGCGGCACATATGGGTTTTTAGGCGGCTTCCGCCGGGCACACTCGGGACATGCCCGAATGTGTCCGACGACATCCGTCGTCATGCCGTGCCAGAAGTAGTCTCGCTGCAACGTTAACAAAGTTTTCTTTACCCCGAGATGTAATAGAGTGTCGCAGTGCAGAGTCCGAATCAATTCGTACCGTAACGACGACGGTACCACCAGACGCCAGCGGTCGTGCAACCCCTCCCTCCACATCAGCAACCCATCCCGGAGAGCAGCCCCCGGCGTCCCACCGGACAGCAGTCCTCCCGCTCCCTTCGCAGCCCGACTCCGTAAAGCCCCCAACGAGTCATCAAACAATTGCTCGCGAATCCATACCGAGCGCGGCAGGTTCAGAACCCCATCGGCCGGTCCTGGGCACACTGGAGCCTCGGGCACCTCGACAGCTGACACAACAGGCCGAGGGGGTTGCTGAACTGGCGTACACCTATTCGTACCCGACGCGCAAGCGCAAGGGGACCCCTGCGGCAATCTGGAGAGCGCGTTCGCGTGACGTGATCCCTTCCGATATTGAATTTCGAAGGAAAATTCCTGCAGGGTTTCCAACCATCGTGCCAGTTGGCCAGATGGTTGGTCAACTCTCGGCATATTGCAGAGCCGCATGGTCCGTGCGCACAATAAACGAACGGCCGTATAGATACGGTCGATATTGGCGGAGAAAATAGACAATAGCCAATAGTTCACGGCGAGTAATGCAGTAGCGGGTTTCTGCCGGGGACAGCACGCG